GACTGGATGGAATATTTTTTAAAAAAGTGTCTCCACACGTCTCCAACACTCTGGATCACTAGGAAATGAGGTCCTATGTCCAAAATTCCGAACTGTCCCTTTAATGTTAAATGTTCCATTGTAAAAGAATGTACATTTCTTACTTCCCCAAATCATAAAATGCCGGAATATAAGTCCTTTAACATGTAACAGCAGTGCACTTTTGGCCTGTATTCACGTATCGGTCTATAACTTTGCCTTGTAAGTGTGATATATTTACAGCGAGTCCATCATTCCGCGCTGCAGAGAGGAGTCTGTACATAAGGAGTAGGCAGCGTGTGCAGGGTGAATGAGGAGCAGACCGGAGCCTCCAGCTAGTATCAATCTTTCTTCTCAAATATGGCGGATACGTGTTCGGAGCATATGGATGTGCCGAGCATTTAAACAAGATGGCTACAGGGGAAATACGCGCTGACCGTAGAGATACTGTAAAGAAAGCACTGCAGAGTATAAAGTGACAGAGAGAAAATGGACAGTATAGAAATGGTATATGAACAAAAGACAGGTATTTAAGCTTTTAAAGGGCCAATATTCTGCTATTTTCTGAGCTATGTTATAATGTTGTTTCCTCATTTTGTTTCCTGTAGTTGTGTTTTGCTTTATTCACTCAATAAGTATAACATTTATTAAAACAGGAAGTGCTCCACTGTGTTTTTAAACTCCATACACCTTCACAAGAATCATTTGGATCATTTAAGTCCTGGAATTGCTGATCTCTACTGAACAAAAAGGTAAAAGACGAAAAATTTCAGGTCTGAGCTAAGAAAAGGATTACTCAAACTGAATGAAACAAAAAAACACAACTCCAGGTATGTTTTTGATGAGGTAACAACATTATTATAACTTCATATTAGTCAGTTTTGGTAATATAGGATCCTTAAAGGGACAGTCTGGAATTTTAGACATAGGACCTCATTTCTTAGTGAGCCAGAGTGTTGGAGATGTGTGGAGACACTTTTTAAAATATTCCATCCAGTCCTTGTCTTTATAGAGGTCGCTGGTGCTAGGCTAGTGCATGTCAATGGCCATAGTTAGCCTGCCACTAAAAACAGTCTTACTCACGCCACAAAACACCCGAAGAAAATCTATTATTACACCAGACTGTTGATGTGAATGTCTGTGTCGATTGAATAGTTTTAGAAGTAAAATCAACCTTGAAGGATTTATGTCTGGGCAGCAGCAGCAAGTTGTACTTCCTGACAGAAAGTGGTGGACTGATATATGAGAAAATAGTCCCTCAACATGTGATGATTCATGCGATGCAAGGTTAGTTTTATTTCAAACATTGTTCTGTCAACACAGACATTTACATCAACAGTCTGGTGTAATAATAGATTTTCTTCGGGTGTTTTGTGGAGTGGGTAAGACTGTTTTTAGTGGCAGGAAAACTATGGCCATTGACATGCACTAGCCTAGCACCAGCGACCTCTGCAAATACAAGGACTGGATGGAATATTTAAAAAAGTGTCTCCACACGTCTCCAACACTCTGGCTCACTAGGAAATGTGGTCCTATGTCCAAAATTCTGGACTGTCCCTTTAAGGTAGTCTTATAGTATTCGCAAGGGCGGAAAAGGGATATATACTGTGTATTTTATTGACAATTTACAAGAGGTTTCATTGCCGAGAAATACTTTGAAAAACACATTTGTCTAAAAATAAAGGTATGAATATGGAATAAAGGTAAAGTAACTCAAACAGTACATCATTATTTTTCCAGTAGCAGCTACACAGACTGAAATAAAGCAGTTATAGACTAAAATACAGCAACTACTTTAAGTGATAAACACTTCATAGTGTGTAAGTTCAATGAAATAGAGACTTTAAAACATGGAGGAGCACTTTCTGGAGAAGCAGGACACCACAACATGATATCAAGCGAGTCGAAAAGAGTGTTGTGAACTCTTGAGAAAAAAATAAATAAATAAATTTTAAAAATGTCAGCAATAAATGTGAGACAAAATGAAACAAAACACAACTCTATATATTGCGTATACAACTGATACACTGGAAAAAAACAATAGCTAGGTAAGTTAAAATGACCTAAATTAAGAACATTTTATTTTATTTGAGTAAATTTAACTTGACAAGAAAAATGATCAACCCCTGGAATAAGTGTGTTTTTCTTAATCCAAGCAATATTCGATTTTGTTTCTTATTTTAAGTGCAAAAAGTTGTTGTTTTTCTTATTTTAAGTGCAGCAAGATGTATTTTCGTATTTTATGTACAAAAAGTCTTGTTCCACTGGCAGATCATTTTATTTGTCAAGTGAAATTTACTCCAATCATGCTGAAATTTTCTTTTGTTTTGTTTTTTGCAGTGTATAATGAACAAGGCTCAAAACGTTTCGCATTAAATTAGTCCAATGAAACTGTATCTATCTACAAAACCCATGGGCGGAGAGCGACGAGACTGGACTCCCACATCTCAGTTATGGCTCAGTCTTATGAGTCAGAAGATTTGACCTTTCTGTCTCTCACTCAGACGAGACATTTTCAGGGTTAACTGAAGGACAGAGCAGTTCACAGGCGTGATTTCCTCTACGTGGAGTTTATTTATGGACTCTGAATGACTCAAATGTGTCCCAGAATACGCGATGTGTCCAAAGTGCAGAACAGTCATCAGCTGTACGTGAAGGCTGCAGGAATCCAGTCAATTAAAGGGGTGAAAAAATATTACACGGAGTACAAATGGTCCAGTCACCCATTCCGTGTCAACAGATGTGAAGTAAACATGTTCAAATCAAATATAGCTTTTACTCATAACAACTTCCGATTTATTCTTAGTTACAAAAACATCGGACGTGAAGGTCAAGTTGTTTATGCTGTCATTTGGTGTTCCGAGTAGAAAGCAGGCTCTTATTTAGGTTCCCAGTTACTATAAACATTCTTATATACAGTTCTTGAGAATTCTGTGTATATATCTCCTCTATCTGCAGGTTAAGGCTCCAGTAGCCCAAGTTCAGTTTGATCGAAGTTCTTATTTAAACCCTTTCGGTGCCAGAGTTTTTTTCCTAAAATGTTCAATTTTGACATCTTAGTCCTGGGTTAGTCCTATTTTCATCCTGGTTTAGTCCTGGTTTAGTCCTGGTTTAGCCCTGGTTTAGTCCTATTTTCATCCTGGTTTAGTCCTGGTTTAGTCCTGGTTTAGCCCTGGTTAGTCCTATTTTCATCCTGGTTTAGTCCTGGTTTAGCCCTGGTTTAGTCCTATTTTCATCCTGGTTTAGCCCTGGTTTAGTCCTGGTTTAGCCCTGGTTTAGTCCTATTTTCATCCTGGTTTAGCCCTGGTTTAGTCCTGGTTTAGCCCTGGTTTAGTCCTATTTTCATCCTGGTTTAGTCCTGGTTTAGCCCTGGTTTAGTCCTATTTTCATCCTGGTTTAGCCCTGGTTTAGTCCTATTTTCATCCTGGTTTAGCCCTGGTTAGTCCTATTTTCATCCTGGTTTAGCCCTGGTTTAGTCCTGGTTTAGCCCTGGTTTAGTCCTATTTTCATCCTGGTTTAGTCCTGGTTAGTCCTATTTTCATCCTGGTTTAGCCCTGGTTTAGTCCTGGTTTAGCCCTGGTTTAGTCCTATTTTCATCCTGGTTTAGTCCTGGTTTAGCTCTGGTTTAGTCCTGGTTTAGTCTTATTTTCATCCTGGTTTAGTGCTGGTTCAGTCCTGGTTCAGACCTGGTTTAGACCTGGTTTAGCTTGAATGAAATTTGACAATATATTTGGCAAAATTGGCCATTTTATTCAGAGCGGTATCTTGTCAACTTAAGCAGACAGTGGCATCGAGAGAGTTAACATTAGAAGAAAAAAAATAAATAAAATGCATACCGTATTTTTCGGACTATAAGGCGCATTGGGTTATAAGGGGCAATATGAATAATGTTGAAAATTAAACAAACGGAACGACACTTGAGACTGATCAATCCATTGGCAGATCGTGGTGTAATTCGCCCGGCGTTGTCTCTCTGTCTTGGTGAATGCGGATTATGAATGTGAATGTGAGTGGATCATTTAATATTGTTTTTTTTTTTTCCTATGAGGATGACTCAAATATACATTGAGTAATAATGTGTTTGATTCAGCTTTGTGCACATTTGTTTACATTTTACAGAAACAAAACTTAAAACCACATGGCTCATTTGCATAAACTATAAGCGCTGAAAAAAACAGCTCGCTTCTTGTGCGCTGATGTGGTCAGTTTCTGTCGGACTCTGCAAGGCTCCTGACTATAGTAGCTGTAATGCTCCGACAATCCATCAAGCGGTGCGGCTTTGTAGTTTATCAAAGTTGTACTAAAACATTTTGACAGATTTTTGAGCGCTGTCTACCACATAAAATCAGTTTGAGGTCAACTACAATTAATACAAAAGGTGCCGCGGATTAAAAGGCGCACTAACGATTTTTGAGAAAATTATAGGATTTGAAGTGCGCCTTATAGTCCGTAAAATCCGGTACTCGTCCTTTAAAAATAAAGGACATATCTTTTCATATTCTAAATGCCTCAGCTCCAAGATATTGGTATTGTCACACTACACACGAAACTACACATGAAAATCTCAAACTCAATTTCAACACTAAAGATTAGACTTGATCCTCAGTATGGTTTCTGATTTCAAAATAACAAAACAAAAACAAAAAAGCACTTTCTTTAGTGAATCTCAACATTAAATTGTATTTTTTTGCCATCCCTCAGTGGTCCAGGGGTGTATACTAGTCTCTGTGTTCTTATATTTAGTCTGACACAGCTCAAGATCTTTCTAAAACTATTCAGGAAAGGTTCATTTCAGTCCAGCGAATGTGACTTGTTTTAGTATCAATACCTGCTCAAATAAGTATCTAGTTTCCAGTTTTATTTCAATTAGTATATCAGATTTTCTCTTGACAACCCAACAAGATATAAACCAAGCCAAACTAAACCAATGCTGTAACATTCGCATTAACATAAGTGTGAATAATAGAAAAAAACAGTCTTACCTAACAGGGCTGTTGTTGCTGTCTGGATCGCGAGCTGTCACCGTGCCCACTTCGGTGCCGCTGGGAGAATTCTCGTAAACATCCATGATATAATAATCCATAGAAAAGACCGGCGCCTCGTCCACGTCGCCCACGGAGATCTTCAAAGTCGCGGTGTCTTTGAACGCGCCCAAATAAGAAAACCTGGGATCCACGTGAGTGTTTGTGCCCTCGATGTGCAGAGTGTACGTCTTCTTCCTCTCGTAGTCCAGAGGCTGCAACACACAAGGGATTTATAAGTATTTATGACAAAACAGCGTATTTATATTGTGCTGTATTTTTGAAATTTAAAGGTGCACTATGTAACTTTTCTGGTGTGGGGTCTGCTACCAGCTTGTTTCTGTGAAAATGTTATGTTATTGCCTGAAATGTTCCACAGTCATTAAACATATGTATCTCTCTTGCATGTATTCAATTATCAACGTTTTTATCACTGGGCCCAGTCAAGCAGAAGTAAACAACAAGGCCAAAAATTCAAGTTAATGCATCTGATATAAAAATGTATTGAACAGATACATATGTTACTCTAGTTTATGAAACTGTTGACCTTTTTTCTGGACCATTTTTGGTTCTAAAGTTACATGTATGAAACATGGAACAAAAATTTGTTACCAAATTTCAAAGACCTGCAAATCATGTCAATAAATGGATGTATTTCATCATATCTTGTGTTATTCGATCTTTGAACTGTTGATGAAGGTACATGATTTAAAAAAAAAAAAAAGTATTTAAAATGATAAAAAATTTGCTTGGAAGGACTGACATATTTTATAGAAATAGTTTCTTTTCATTTTCAAATAATATTAAAGTATTTGGAAGAAAAAAGTTGACAAATAATGTAAAATCCTGCACCTTCTACTTGTTTGCACAATTTTCCCTCCGTTACTTTTCCCTCCGTTACCATGACCTTTCTTAATAAAAAATCTCATTCCTCAAAAAGTAAGAGGTTTTTCAACCTAATCTTGTACCATATGGTAGAAAACTATATGAAGCAAATATTCAAACCAGTTTGTTAAGGATATGTAAGTGAGAACCGCTAGTTATCTCTGTTTGTATTTATTGCCCAAAAAGTGCTGCATATTTCATTCCCTCATTCCCTCCCCGACATGTTGACATGAGTTTTTAAATTTTTTGTCAACAACTTGAAAGAATATCACAGGTTTAACTTGACCCTGTTGGAGTGTAACTCTTTCCTACATTCTGATACTTTACTTATTTCAATAGTCCCTCTAGTTTCTGAATAAGAGACATTTGAATGTAAAAAATCTGCCCGTTTCCCTCCGTTACCACTTGACCGGACCCCACTTAAAACCTTGACAATACGTGTAAGCTCTCCACTGATCTGACTTGATGGTTGTCTCCATGGAGATAAATATGTGAAATGTCAGACAGTAGAACATTCTAGACCAGGGATCTCCAGCCTTTTTTTCTCCATTGAGCTACCTTTACAAATAAAAAATGCTAGAGACCTACCAATTTCAGCAGTCGCAAAGAAACTGAGTAAATATAAGAGCCGCGGCGAGCCTTAGATGCTTATAAAACATTATCCATTTATCGTGCACCAAGTTAGGCATCAAATTTATACATTTACAATGGGAGTTAATCAAATTTTACTTATTACCCACAATACATAGAATTCAGAAATCCTTTGGCGAGTTACTTGGAAGGGGAACTACCTAACAAAGTAAAAACATCTCCACGGAGAAAAGAGAAGCAGGCGATGACCCCCTCCACCAGGAAAGTTACACATTGTACATTTAAAGGTACAGTATGGAACTTTGTGGAGGAAACCGGAAGTTAAAATCATATTTGGAATACTCAAGGATCCTTTTTTTTTTCCACTGTAATAACCACAACCATAATAGATGAATAAGAAACATGCTTTTATTTTATTGTATTTTCCAGGCTATTAGGCGTAATTTTAAGCCTCTAACCCAATCAAAAAACGACCGCGTGCCCCACAATCCAGACAATCCTATACACGAATCCACTCAGGTGTCCCAGCACTTCAGTAAACTACAAAGCCGCACCACCCGCAGCGCACGCAAACACACACGGAGCAGACAGCGACCGCGCGGCGAAAAACACCCGCAGACACACTCATCACTCCACGCCGACGAGGAACGGAACGGAGGAACGAACCGAAAAAGCGAGTGCAACGTGCCGCTTCTAGACACGACTGAACAACTGAGTCACTGCGAACACGCCGACAATCCAGCGGTCCCAGACAGCACCCTCCCTACACGCCACAACTGAACAAAGCCCAGAGTCACTGTGAACGCCCAAACAAAGTCCCACTGACCCATCCAACTGTTGTGTTTCCTTTAAAGTCCAGTGCGGTTTATTTGTGAAAAAAGTTCGGAAATAGACCATTTAATGACACTGCGTCTTATAATCCAGAGCGCCTAATAGCCCGGAAAATATGATAGTCTTTTTTTTTTTGGTGCATTCTGTAACTTTTCAGATGGCGGGTCTGCCAGCTTGTCTCCATGGAGATGATAAAGCTTTGCCAGGAAATTGCCACAGTATAATCACTGAACCTTTAACCAATTAGAGGTGTTTTTACTGTTAAAATACCTTAAAACATGCACTCATACGGTGAGCACAGTCACACTTAGTCTGTTGCCGATATCTGTTCATGTGTTCATGGAGATTCAGAAGTTTTATACCATACACTTTATGTAAAAAACAAATAAATTAAAGGTTACAGAGTGCACCTTTAAGAAAATACTAACATAGATCTAGACCCAATGTGAGTGTTCTTAGTCCTGTTTAGTCTTGGTTTACCACAGGAATTGCCATTATAGTCAATTGTTGTGCATGAGCTAAATTAGTCATAGATTACAAACGAAAAGATGAAGTAGAGCGCTTCACTTGGTCATAAAAAAGTAAAAAACTAACAGTACAGGAGCTCTACGAAGGTTAACTTTGAAATCAAAACCGAATGTAAAAGTGCCAAGGTGTTTCGAGCAAGATGGTCAGGGCATAGTCACAGATTTATCCAGGTTTCATATTGGTTTAGTTACTGTACTATCACTTAACTTGGATTTCAGCACACCAGAAATGTTACAGAGTGCAGCTTTAATACATCTTTGGCTGTCAGTGCGGTTACACAACACTAAAGTAACTGCATACATTTCATAACCTGTGAGTGATTCTTTTATGAAACACAAATCCTACGCAGACACACCTGCCTCCTCTGTTTCACCGGGGCCTAATGGATAATAATGGAGGCATTATAATGAATATTTAGAAACACATCGCTTCAGATTAGGCTCGCTGATTGAAAATTATTATCCCGCCTCTAAAGGAGCGGCTGATATAGTTGGAGATTGGTTCGTTCCTCAGAAATAAATGGATTCCTTTTGGTGGAGTCACATGGGGTTTGAAGCTCGAGCTGCCAGTTGTTTTTCCAATCGATTTGAAATTGCCGCAGCTTTAAATATACTTTGATTTATTTTCAGAGTGGCTTTCTCTTAACTATTTTGGAGCGCACTGATATTGATGAAGTTGATATTTAATCTTCTGCTAATTCAATTTATTAAGTTCTTTTTTTAAAGGTGCACTGTGTATCTGTTCTGGCCATCTGCTTGACTCTATATTGTTTTGGTTGTTGTTGTTGTCTTTTTTTCTTGGCATTTAATTGAACTATCTCATCAAAATCACAGGTCAGATCTGTGGAGAAGTGGGCCAGTGCAAAATAGTAATAATGCATATTTTTGCGGTAGTTTTGACCAAGTCTTTGTGCAAGTCTCAACTAAGTCTCAAGTCTTTGACCTCAAGTCCGAGTCAAGTCCCAAGTCAAATACAGGCAAGGCCAAGTCGAGTCTCAAGTCACTGGCTCATAAGTCCAAGTCAAGTCCAAGTCGTCTGCTTTGAGCTTCAAGTAATTTCAAATCTTTAAATCAAATTATCAAATATAGTTTTGGCTTTAAATCCTTGATATTGGGAATCGTTGCCAACACAGAATGTCTGGTTTCATTTACATCCATCTCGACACTTTGTTTACTGTTGTGCTGTACCACAAAAGGGACCCAGTCATGGCTTCACAGTTCTTCGCTGATTGGTCTGTGCGCAGTCTACAACTTTAAGGGTTCTTTTTATGTTATTAGGTTCTTTTTTCAGACCAAAAGTTTGTTTTCATACCTGACAGTTTCGACTGCTCACTAGCGGTCTTCCTCAGAGTCACGTGATGTTGCTGTGACGTGTCCAGTCAGCTGATTTAAACAAATCAGTCAGGTATGAAAACAAACTCTTGGCCTGAAAAAAGAACCTAATAAGACAAACTATCAGAAGACCAAATGAACCTCATCGGACTTCCAGGGTTCTTGCAAACCGTCTAGTGTATTCCGATTCCTGACCTAGTCACTGGAGAGAAATTAAATTTGAGCGGAGGCACTAGGTGGCGCCAGCCTGGCTAGGTCGTACTTGGACGACTAAAGAAAAGAGTGAAGGGTGAAGGAGGAGGGTGGGGTCAGGGGGTTTGTGATTGATCAAACAGGTATCCACACTTCAAACTCGGCCCCTGCAGACTGGTGATTGTAATTAGAAACGCCTGGCTGTAATCAGGGCAGTCTTACATGATGTCCCCACATACTTGAAATTATAGTCCACTCCGGAAGTACGAGTTCGGGCAGCAGCCAATCAGCGAAGAGCCATATATTCTGTGTTGGCAACGATTCCCGAGATCGAGGATTTAATGCCGGAACAAAGAGAATGTTTGGTGAATTTTATCAAGGGGAAAGATGTTATTGCCCTTCTTCTTACGGGACCTTGGAAAAGCTTAATATATCAGTTAGCCCTGTTAGCGACGCATTACATACGTCACGATCAAATAGCAGCGATTGGTTAAATGAAAAAAAAGCACCCACCTACTGTTGAGCAAACGAATCCTAATGCTGTGAGGTCAGACGGTTTCTACAAACTGAAACCGGCTACTGAATCAGGCTGACTAAACGCAGCACAAACTTCGATTTTGACCAGAAAACTGCAGATTTACCTATAGTTCGAACTAATAATGCCCCATAAACGACTAGGGGCAGTAGATAATGCTATTAAAACATCATTGTTTAGTTCCAGCGTTTAATTCCTCTTTTATTACACTTTGATTTAGTTCAGAGTGGAGTTTTCTTATCTATTTTAGAACACATTGGATCTAGATATACTGTAGTTTCTGCCATATATATAGTTTATGTAAGAGGTTGGTTGTAGAATGTACATGTACTACGTGATATGATTTAGTAAACATTTTCTTCAAGGACAATTTTGTCAAAGAAAGAAGACATCAAAAGGCACAACATATCTTATTTTTATCTCTGAATGCAGAAAGAGTAGGCCATGTTCAATGAAAGATTTGCGTTATGGAAGAAAAGCACAAACACAGTGTGAGTGTTTTAGTGAAACAAATTGATTAATGTGCGAAGGACATTTTTTGAGCAAATAATAACATAACTATGATACTGATTCTATTCCATGATGGCAGAGCCTAAGAAACTAACTGTAAGCGGCACTTTATCTGAAGATTTGTTACTCAAGGTAGACTTAAAGATGCATTGTGTAACTTTTCTGGTGGAGGATCTGTCATATGCTTTTCTCCGAGGAAGTGTAATTGCTTTGCTTTGTCTGGAATGTTTCACAGTGTGGCATTAAACCTTTCTAAACCTTTCTATCTTCATGTTGACCAAATCAGACCAAGTTACAGGTCAGATCTGTGGAGAGGCGACCCCGCACACAGTCAGAATGTTTGTTTTTTTTAGATATTTTTGAACTATAAAACCACATGTAACTTAGAGAATGTAAGGTAGAGCTGTTTAATGTCATACTGTGGAACATTCCAGACAGACGAATGACATATCCATAGAAATAAGCAAGTCCCAAGCAAAAAAATTACAAATAAGTCAGTTTCAAATAACATTACAGTCACATGCTAGTTAGTGGTAGCCAACAGTTTCAAACACGTAAACAGGACCATGAACGCATCGGTTACACACTGCTATTCCAACGTGACGCTATTTAGGTGGTGTCTACACGATGTCGTTTTATTCATTTTGACCTTTCGTCCACATGGAGCCAGCGTTTCGGGTGGGCGAAAACAGTGTTTTTTGAAAATCGGTTCCAGAGTGGAGAAAACTGAGAACGCATTTGGACAAGGAAACCGTAGCTTTTGGAAAACGATGACCCCATCATCGCCATCTGACAAGAAGAGAACCCGGCACAGGAAGGACTTAATGTACTTTATGACTTTATGTGTGTTCAGTGACTCTGGCTGTATCTTGTTTACAGCACCACATACAGACGTGGCATATGTGTTACGTTTTCACTCAGTGCTCCATTGTCGTCTAGACGTGAATATTTACTGATCCGACACGTGTGGATGCAAATTCTTCTCAACCCGCAAAAAAAATAATTATCCAGGAGCGCTGTTGTGTGGACGTAGCCTTACACACACTGACATCTAATTGTCGGAGTAGCAGCATAAACATTATTTTTCAAGCTTCCCACTACTGGGACTTTTTTTTTTCACTGTCGCTGTAGCTGCACTTTACTATATTTCAAACATTCTGCTTTTCCGAAAAGTAAAAAAGTTAAGTACGATGATAAAGCAAGGACACAAGAATACAAGAATGTTTATGTAGTTGTTGAGATTAAGAACATTAACTCTTTCCCCCATGAAGACGACATTTGACGACCCCCCCTGAACCCTTAATGACGACTTTTGACACCTCCGCCGTATCACTAAAGACGTGATTTGACGACCTTTAGAAACGGCTCGGTTTTTCACATTTAAACAGAGACTGTGATCGGTGGGGGCCACTACAACCCACACTAGACTGACCAATAGGATTCAAGGATATGTTTTCCGAAGTTAATCGAAATAGTGACGATGGTAGCTTCCGGAAAAAACACAACACGAAACACGTGCAATGGAAAGATGGCGGCGCTGCGGCGCACAGTTTTAGAAATAATGAGGAGCGGACGTATTTTATGGATAAGTTTCGAGAAAGTGACTTTTATAGATTTCAAAGTGATGATGTTGAAGTTGATTATAAAGTGGAAAACAGCGACAGCGACGGACTTTCGGGGAGAAGGTGAGAACGCCGCTGATGCGTCTGTGTGGAGTCCTGCGATATCCCAACAAACTATCTGAGCTTTATACTCGATTATGAACCAAAATTGCCCTGAAATCTGGATGTTGCCCAGGCCAGTCCTTTAAAATATTTCAGTCTTTTTTTCCAAGATGCGATGTATAACAGAATCACTACAGAAAAAACGCTTATGTGGAGCTCTGCACACGAGAAAATAACCAAGATGACAAATACTGGACACACACTGATGGGGAAGAGTTTTATTATTATATTATTATATTATAATAAACTAAATGAGTTGAATAAGCTAAATGAGTTGAATAAATTAAATTAGTTGAATAAGCTAAAATGAGTTGAATAAGTTAAATGGAAAAAATGAATTAGGTCCACACAGGTGTACAACAGGTAAAAACAGGTGTACACTTGGCTATACTGTATCTGGTGATATGAAATCTGTTTAAATACTTTGACAAAGTATATTTTTTTATTTTTTTTATGAATATAGTACTCAGAACATGCAGATATCAGATGCTGAATGTAGTTTTTTGTTTTCGAGTTTGCACCTGACCAGGTAAACTCTCATTTTCAGTGAGCTGTTATACACCTATAAATGAGTTGAATCACATTTAAACATCCATAAATGAAGAGTTCAGAGTCTAAGGTTTCCAGAGATACAAATATGTCTGTGTTACAATTAAGTTCATGAGTGTAAAAATCATTTATAATCACTCGTGGAAGTCTGTTTTCTTTTATGCAATTATGCTCTATGGGTAGAACTAGTAACATATGTATGGGTTGTTCCTAGTCGGCGTCCAGGGGGGAAAGAGTTAAAGAACAGCAAAAGACACGCCTGGGTAGACTAGTGCAACTCTCAAAAAAAATAAAAAATCTGTTGTCATGTTGTAATGAAGGGATGCTGGAATAGGAATAAATCACAGGCTCCTGAAACTGTGTTGTTTAAATCCATTTTGTGTCGACTTTTCAGACCTCTCCTCAAAACAAACATTTGACAGTGTTTGTTAATGTGTGTGTTGTGTCACCGCGGTAACTGCTGAACATTCCTCCACGGACATGCATGCGGAACACCCCCAGCGTGTCTATGATGCCTCACCTTCTTGAGGCTGATGATGCCCTCGCGCGTGTCCCTGTCTGTGGAGATGGAGAAGGTGTTGGCGCCCTCCGAGTTGATGATGCTGTATTTAATGTCCGCGTTGATCCCGATGTCCTCGTCGTTGGCTTTGATTTTTCCCACCGGTTTTCCCACCTGCGCCGACTCCACCACGTACAGCTCGTAGTTTTCTGGAAAAAATAACGAAGAAAGGGTTTAGAAATAACACCAGAGACTTTGACTGAAATGGTTTGACAGGTTGTAAGCTCAAACGATGCGAGTAGTTTTCTATAGACCCTTTAAAATCCTATATATCATCATTCTGCAATGGAAGATGAAGAAATGCTAAACGGTATTTCAACATTAGAACTATTTTCAGTTTCCAAGGTAGACATATCAGTTCAGTCTGTGTATCATTTGTTCATTCGTTTTTCAAAATAAAACCAAAAAGGAAAAAAAAAAAAAAAAAAATATTTTCTTCATTATTTGTCTCCAAAACCAAAATGAAAAAACAGATAACGATTTGTTTTTGTTTTTTTCAGTTTTCGATTTTGTGTTTAAATGAAAAATGGAAAAAAACAGATAACAGCTGTTTCCCGTTTCTGTGACTTAAACTGCGATGCCGGACTGAACCAGGACTGAATCAGGAGTAAACCAGGACTAAACCGTTTTCAGTCCTGGTCTGGTCCCGGCATCAGCCCCAGCATCAGTCTTGGCATCAGTCCCGGTCTTAGTCCCGGTCTGGTCCCGGTCTTAGTCCTGGTCCTGTTCCCGGTCACAGTCCTGGTCTCAGTTTGGTCTGGTCCCCATCTCAGTCCTTGTTTCAATCCTCAATCATGGTCTGGTCCTGGTCTGGTCGTGGTATCAGTCCCAGCATCAGTCCTGGTCTTAGTCCCGGTCTGGTCCCGATCTCAGTCCTTGTCCTGTTCCCGGTCTCAGTCCTGGTCTCTGTTTTGGTCTGGTTCCATTCTCAGGCCCGGTCGCAGTCCTGTTCCTGGTCACAGTTCCGGTCTCTGATTTGGTCTGGTTCCAGCATCAGTCCCGGTCTTAGTCCCGGTCTGGTCCCAGTCTCAGTCCTGGTCCTGTTCCCACTCTCAGTCCTGGTCTCAGTTTTGGTCTGGTCCCGGTCTCAGTCCCGGTCACAGTCCGGTCACAGTCCCGGTCCTGTTCCCAGACTCACTCCTGGTCTCAGTCCCAGTCTAGTTCCAGTCTGGTCCCGGACCTGTTTTAGTCTTGGATCAGTCCTGATTCAGTCCGTATGCGGCGCTAAAGTCCGGCATCGCAGTTTAAGTCACGTAAACGGGAAACAGCCATTATCCGTTTTTTTCTATTATTCATTTAAACACAAAATCGAAAACTGAAAAAAAAAAAAAATCGTTATTTGTTTTTTAATTTTGGTTTTGGAGACAAATAATGAAGAAAATAGTTGTTTTTCATTTTCTTATTTTTGGTTTTATATTGAAAAACAAATGAATGAATGTCATTTGCGTCTCTGGACGGAAAGACACCATTTTCTAACCTCAAAATTGTGGACTGAGCTTCACAAAAAGTATAATTTATGATAAAACATGCCATAAATCTGTGGAAAACTGCAGCGAGTTCAACATTTCCTTTGTCATAAATGCTTAGTGTCTGTCATAATCTCTTTTTTAAATTAACAAATAACACAAAACACACTTGTAAATGTTTTTAAACCAGGCCCTGACATCTCTCTCATGTATCTGTGCAGTTTTTATTTGCCAAATTTCCCTTGATTTTTCATATTTTGTCATATTCTGAAATTAATTAAAGTTTTTCCGTTGAAATTACAATACGCTCCACTTCACTTTTGCCTCCAGTTGGGAACTTAGAAGGTTTTTGTTTATAATTTTTTTTTAAAGAATCTGAAAAATAAAGTCCTATGCGATACTTACTTCAGCTTTCAGACTTTAACATTTAGTATTTTTTCGAGTTTTTAGACTTAGATCTTAAAACTTACATGGCATTTTTGCTTAAAGGTTGTATAGAGGATTTTCCAAGGAACGAGAAATCCAGCGACTGTTTGTCCTTTTTCAAATGTTGCGCATGCGTGAAACCACCCCCCCTCCCCTACAGCTCCTACGTAGAAACGCCTCCTCCCGCCTCCTCTTTACGCCAGAAACAGGTTTGTTTACAGCCGGTGCTGCACATGACTTGTAAACAACTAACTACAGTGTTGGTTAGGCAAGACGGAGAAGTGAGGAGCGGGGGAGCGGGTGTGCGGACATTTCGTTCGCGGACGAGAAGTGAGGAGCAGGGAGCAGAGCGGAGCAGGGAGAGGATAGGAGAGAGGAGAGGGGAGCGGTGCGCGGAGATTCCGTGCCCGGAGAAGTGAGGAGCAGGGGGAAGAGCGGAACGGGCAGCGGGGACAGGAGCAGGAAAGGGGTACAGAGAAGGTTGCGCGGAGATTCAGTGCGAATGAACTAGCTACAACACGCAGCAGCAAGCGGACTCTTTCTTTGCCTTGAAAATTACGTTTTCAGACAGAAAAACGTTTGTCTCGCTCTTGGAAATAAAGTACGTTTTCATAATAAGCAGAAGTGTCCTGTCCAGGAGTAATTTGTGCGACCAGTGCGTCAGTCTTTAGACCCTTCGTCTGCTTCAGTCGCGCCATCGCTGGAATGAATCTATAAGAATCACCTTAGTTTGGCTTCGCTGCTTTTCCCCTTGTCTTCTTCTTTCACCTCAAAAACGGACTTTCTTTTGCGGCGAACTGCTCCTGGATTCTTGTCGCCATTGCAACAAACTTTGTGCTAACTGCGAGGAAGATATAGGTCAAAAAAAGCCGCTAAGAACTGTTGCGTTGGTGGAGTAAACAGCGTCTGTGCGTCTTGCGTCTGTGGACTGCGTGACAGGCGTACGTAAACCACATACCGGCGGCGCGCAGGCAAGTCAGTTACGCTAGAAACGTAGGGAGATTGATTGACAGCCTGTCAGCTCACAGATAACGAGGCAGTGTCGTTATCTATTGGCAAATGTTTAGCCCCACCACGTCCAGAGTTGATTAATTTTTATTCTCTTTTTTTTGGTCATCATAATTACAAGGCTACTGCACCTCTATAATGCTATCATTGACAACTTGAAACAAAAAAAAAATCCTCCATACAACCTTTAAGTGTGCATTGTGTCACCATGGTAACTGCTGAACATTCTACCATAGACTTAGATTGACATGGTTTATTTCAGTTTGGGGGGAAAACAGGATTACAGCTAAACTTTTATGATCCAAACTGGTGCTAAAAAAAAAAAACAGAACTCGGTAAAGACTAAACCAGGACCAACTATAAGAGTCTATGAAGGAGTTTAATGCTGTAATTAATAATTGTGTTCCAGTTCACTGCCAGCGTCACCTTTGTTCACAGGGGATGTTCGCTCGTGTTATCTACGACGCTGAAACTAAAGTGAACAATTTGTACTTCGCTTCGAGTGTTAACTAGGGCATTTCCATGGTTACAAAATACACGGACAGTATACGTTGTAATGATAATGAAATGTTTCTATTAAAAAAAAGGCCGTCGTGATCTCTAGAGGGTCCACGTCTCTGGGTACCACGCTCTTCTCCTGCATTAGAATCTAGGATCTCTCGCCGCTGGTTGCTTGAAATACATGTAACCTAGACAAAAAAATGTATATACAGTAATAATACAGTAATTGAAGTTCATAATATAAGTTACAGTTTAAAATGGTTAAAAAGCATAAATAAGTTATAAGTTACATAAATATTGTTAAAAGTATGTTTCATTTATTAAGTAATGTGTTTAAAAACTGTTAAAAGTACCTGGAAATAAGTGAAGGAGCTGTACAAGGTATACTGCAGTCGATGTAGTTTATTTAATTTTATTTTGAAATTCTACAGGAAGTGCTATGAATGTGTACTGCTGCTGCTGGCCATTTTTCTGTATTGACCTTACACACAGTGAACCGGAAGTGAGTGTCTGCGGAGCGTTAGCTTAACCTCGAGAAAAAAAAACGAGAAGAAAAAAACAACTAAATAAGGAGATAATTTAGAACTTTTATGGTGTATGAAAAAGCCTTTGGACTGTTGGCCAAATAGTCGGAAGCAGAGACTTGTTTTACACGATTGTGGAGAGCGCATGGACGTTATTCAGCCCGAAGACGGACCTGCACACCAGTACAGAAGGAAAGCTTTAGACCACAGGTGTCAAACATAAGGCCCGGGGGCCAGATCCGGCCCTCCAAGACTTTTAATGTGGCCCTTGGGTGATTTCTACTAAAATATTTTAATTATATTTTCTATTAAAATATTGGTCATTTTCTGTGGTGCTGATCACAGCAGCGTCTCCAGCGTCTCTGTACGTGGCCCCTCCCACCAGAGCAGCACAAATGAAGACTTGTCTCTTTCCAAACGCTCTTAAAGGACGATCGTTTTGACTGTTGACCGTGACACCCTCATCAGAAAAATGTCAAAAATGAGAAAAGTGGAGCCGAGTGCAGGATTTTCCAAGAAAAATTTACTTATTACATACAAGTTCATGTTAAAACATTGTGTTGAAATTGAATTTTTCTTAAAGTTTCAGGTTGTTCATAATATTATAAACTTATAATAAGAAAGAGTTCATCAATTAAAAAAGATTTCTGTAATAGATTTGTGTTTCTCTGCACAAATATTTGAACTTTTTTGGGGTATATATGACATGAGTTTTCTGATCCGGCCCCTTTGAGATCAAAGTTAGTTGGATACGGCCCCCGGACCAAAATGAGTTCGACACCCTTGCTTTAGACGTTAGCTCCGTTTCTTTTTTTTTTGCATTCGCTAGCTAAGCGGGTGCTCTCAACTGAATTAGTAGTAGTAGTTAAAACAGCTTACTACAAAGACTGTTTTATTTCTCAACTTGAGATTTAAAAGCCTGTCGTTTAGAAGAGCGGGATCGTGTGTGAGGGACGTACGGGAGGAGACCAGCGGGGAGCAGTGGACGTGACCGCGCCGCCATTTTGGAACCTGTAAATGCGTTTTCATCCAGATCTGACTTATAACAACTGTACACAAAACTACAAAACCAGGTACCTAAAATATTTGATTTGGCTCGGAGAGTGAAGCGGCCATTCTGTTTTGGGCCACACCGCTCCCAAGCAACGCACAGGCCTGCACCCAGAGTTGTTTTAAGTGTATTTTCACTAGCTAGGACCACGCCAACGACAACATAGTGCGAAG